TCTTGGACAGGCAGATCGTACTTGCGATGATCGCATGCCCGCCCCGCTGAGGGGCGGGCTTCCGATGACCGCAATGCTGAACGGGCACAACATGCACAACATGCTTACGAACATGCTACACACCTGCTGAAAACCGTACGATTCTCGGCGGGTTTTCAAACATGTTCGTAAGATATAATCGTACGATCGCGGGATTTCCCGCGATTATTGTACGATTATCGCAAAGTGTGTGGGCACCTTGAGGCTATTCTATTGAAACATTGATTTTCCCTTTTTTTTGTGTGTTTTTTTGTTAGGTTGATTTCTTAAGAGTTAAGTTCAGTTTTAAGTGTCTTGTCATTTTTTTGGTTTACTGTGTTGAAAAGGAAAATGTTTGTGTGCAAACTTGGCAAGAAAATACTGATACAACTAGGTGTTATTGTTAGTTTCTAATTTTCCTTTCGCATTTGTAATAATCATCTAAATTCTTTCAAGATTCCAGCTTTAGTGATATGGATTTTAAGTGAAGTTGCATATAATTATGGATAGCAGCCTGGTTCTTTATAACTTAAGGGAGACACCTACAGGAGAGAGAGAAATGAATTCTCCTTTTAAAACTTTTAAGAAATATGTCTGCCTAGCATTCTATTTTAGTTTTTCAGATATTTTATTCGCCTCTATAGAAACCTACAAAGATGGATTGAAAGCATAATAGAAGCACATTAAAAAAACCTGCTATGGTCAGACCCTGGTGCAAAGTAAACATTATAATGGTCTGATGTGCAGCTTTAAAAGAAGGAATACAAAAATAATTTGTGCACATTAGACAAAAAAAATTGTAGCATTTGCATACTTTTAAGTTTAAAAGACCTAAATGACTTTAGGTTATTTCTTGAGTAAATGTAGCCTAAAATGAGTCATTATTTTACAGGGATATGGTGGATACTGTCAATTATTTTCATTGCGAAATACTTTATCACAGATTTTCTATATTGGCTGACTGTATGGCTGCTGTTTATACTTTTAATTACTCGGGATGTGTCCTTTTTTGTCTTGATATGAAGTGACCTTTTTTTCTTTTACATTTTATGACCTATTTTAGTGACTAGATTTGGGTTGGAGAGTAATTATAGTCATCCCTGTGATTACCAGTAAATAAGTAGCTGCGCAAGTTCTTCTTCTTCCCATAAAAGACAAGCTTTTTAATTTTGTAGGGAAGAAAGGCATTTTGGGAGATGCTAAATACTGTAAGCTAATAGGTTTGCTTATATTAGTGTTATGAAAGGTCAGTTAAAAAAATGCTAATTAAATGTTGATGCTCAGGTGAGAAGGATTTGGCACGTAACTGTGATCTGTGTTCAGTTAACGTGTCAGGGGAAAAAAAATTGTTTCAATATTCAACTTCATGAATCATCTTGGGAAAATCAATCATGCTACACATAGATATTGGAGAATGGTCAGATATGCAGATGTGTTCCAACAGACAAATATCCTTTTTGTGAGATCTTTACAATAACATGCATACTGGGATTTCCAGAAAGACATGTTTATAGCTTCGGAGGAAGAGCTATCGGGAAGACCTCTTTGGCGCGTACTTTTCTCCTAAATTGTAGGTCAGAGTTAAATGGGGAAAACAGCATATGCAGTACATCTTTGCATATTCCCCTATGTTTTAATCACTGTAGAGACCTTGTAAGTACAAAAAAAAACCTCATCTACCAATAATTGACTTCACCAGTGCTTATTGGCAGTGGAGAAACTAATTCTATGTCCTTATGTTTTCAGACTACTGTAGACTCCCAGTGCACTAGGATGTTCTAACAAGTTGGACAGTCTGTTTATCGCAGTTGGAAGTGCTCATCATCCCTTAACCACCTCCCAACCAGCCATTGTAGTTAAATGGCTGGTCAGGGCAGCTGCTGTTCTAAGCTAATGTTTAAAAACATGCTTTTCTCTGGATCATTTGCGAATTACCTGCTTTTGCCTCAACACCTTTTGTTTTAATGCAATGCCAGCCTAAAGTTTTTTTATGCCAGGAATCCACTCTAGTCATTATCTATTGAATGAAAATGTTAGCAATAAAGGAAATCCCACATTTTTAGCATTTTTCTGCATTTAGTAAAAAAAATACAGTGGTTCTTAAGTACCACCAAAATAAAGCGCCATCTGACTCAAAAAATTATCACATTCATTTTAGTGTTCACTATTGCATGACTGTGTGAAAAATGGTCTGGAAAGAAGGGGTGTGTAACCTGCTGATATTGAGGTGGTTAAGGAAGCCTTACATAGCCCAATCCTCACTTGGATGTTTCAGATAACCTAATTTGGTATGTAGTCAGTATGAAGCTGCTTAGAACCAGTACAGTGTTGATAACTGAATTGCTAATATGGGTCATTCTACATCTATATATTTTTTTTGTAGTTGACACAGAAGCTAATTATAAAGCATGGCCACTACTCAGCATGGTTGGATTGTTTTGTACGATCTCAAAAGATCCAGAACAAGCATTGTCCCTAGAACAGGTTTATGCAATGGAAGCCAAAAGTAAACTAAAAAAAAAGCAACCCTTTATAGGTGGTAAAGGTTTTGGTAATCCTTAACAATAATAGCAGGGGAAAACTTCAGTTTTCGAGTTTTTAGAAAAGAGAAACTTTTTTTTTTAAAGTGTTCTACTTTTGTGAATGGTAACAAATCTAAAGTAGGTGTTATCCCAGAAAAAAAAACCGTTAAAGTGGCAGCGATTTACAGAAAGGCATATTGATATGCATGAGTTAGAGGTGAATGCTTAGAAGGACACTGACATATCATGCGGTAAGGTCATTTTTGTATGGGCGTAATATTTTATTACTGTTGGATGTAAACAGAGATCTCCATGAAGTTAGTATACAACTAGAAGAAAAAGGAATCAATAGACTTTTTAAACTCCTTTTCCCATTCTGGGAATATTTCTACTTGTCTGTCCGTGCTACCCATCTTTCAGTTTCTTTGGCCCTCTCTTGAAATTTTGTTCAAATAGCTATAATAGGGTTTTCCAATTCTAGATGAACTTGGCAATGGTAAGAAAACTGAAGACATGTTTCTTTATTTCCACTCCATATTTGACTTTGCTTCCAGCACATATTTAAACTTTTTATTTTCAGAGACAGTCAGAAATGGGGCAAAGAAATACATTATCTAGAGTTTGGTTAGTAGCCTATAGGAAAATTGATACCTGTACGAACTGTTAGATTTTTACCGGAAACTTGCAAGTGCGTAATAAAAAAATTAAAGCAACATTTTTAAATTTAAAGTCCAAAGATGAATGTGTAGAACATTTGTCTCCTGATCCAGATTTTTTTTTTTTTTTTTCCCCCTACCAATTCTTGTTAATGAGGTAGGGACAAGACCTTTCCATCAATAAGATTGCATGCGAACATGTGACGCTTTTTCTTAAACAATACAGACTAATGATTTTAGGGCATTTTCTTTATAATTATGAAGAACTGTAACTCAATCCATGATTATTCAGCAATGGAGAATGGCAACCAGCAAGCAATCATGGATTGCTGAGATTTGTAGTCCTTTATGGCCGGTTGCCATTCTCTATTGCTGTATAATCATTGATCCCATCAATCCATCATTATACAGGTCTGCGTGGGGGGTCTCTCCAGGGTGGTGTGGGGCTGTCCATTGCTGTGCCTGTCTCTGCAGGCACCAGAAAGGAGATGTGGGGCTGGACCGGCATTGTCACAGCTACAGCGAGGTCCCCAGCAGGCTGCCTGAGGTCCCTAGCTAGCACAGTACCTCAGGCAACCAAACTTGTTTAAAAAGGGCCAGTATCTGCCTTTTAATATCGGGGCATTTTCACAAGTACTCGTGCTCTTGAAAATGCCCTGTATTGGCCTTGATACCAACTATCGGTACTGGGACATCCCTAGTTTTTACCGTTTACATAAACCTCAGTTTGCTCTGTACTTAGCTTCTAAAAAGATCTTATTTAGAAGCAAATACTCCTGAAATTGCTCTACCTATTTAGAACTTTTACAATTTTAATTACTGATCTCAATTTTAGCTTCCAGTATACACTAATATCTTGCTTCATTACAGGAGAAATGTATAAATACACCTCTATCAATTTCAATATCAAAACTGGAGCAACTGTGCATGACATCCAATCAGTTTCTCTCATTTTCATTTTCAAATCTTAACTGAACAAACTGAAGAGAGAATCTGGTTGCTATGGGCTTCAGACTGTCTTTATCCAAATTTGATGAATTAACACCCCCCCCCCCCCCA